GGTACTACAACCAAAGATTGGCACGTGGTATCATCAAGGCTGCTAGCTCCTTTTAGTTTTCTGTAGGATGCTGTAAATTTGAGCGTTCTGCTCATCTGATGCTCATTTTATCTGGATGCATTCATGATTAAATCATGTGGCGGAGTCGCCGTCGTCTCTTTTCTCGTGGCGGAGTCGCCGTCGTCTCTCGTCTCTTTTCTTGGTCGTCTTTTGACGTGATTGGCACTGCAGAGCACTGCCGAGTAACTGAGGTTTTGTTTAGTCTCGCGTGAAGCCATGGATGAGTTTATAGTGCTACGTGCTGCCCCTCTTTTGCTGGGTATGCTTGCAGGAGGACTTATCACTTTGACATTTCGCCAGCCTGTGGTGGTTACTGTCCAGATGGAAAAGTCGTCGCAACATGAGTATGCCAACAAAGGAAAGATGTCCGCTGAGCCTGATGTGGGTTCATCTGCTATGCCGAAGTCTGCAAAAGCTAAGGCGAAGCGAGTTCATGAGCCCGTGAAGACTCAGACAGATGGAACATTCTTTAAGAATCGCCACCACTTTGCGAGTTTTCTGGATGATGGGGAAGCTGTTTATCACAAGATTTCAGACTGTGCAAGGAAGCATGCAACCCGACCTGATTTGATCAGGGAGATGTTGCCATGTGGTGTGTGCCGCGCCATCGCGAATGCAGATTCCTCAGATTACCTCTCCAAGTATGGTGACAAGTATCATGCAATGGATTGCAAGCATGTACAGCAGAAGAATTCTCATATCCATGGTTTGACTCCATGCTCGGAGTGCTGGTCTGGTCCTCGCTTTCTTGAGTGAGCTTGGGACGGTTCCTGTGTTTACTCAGGGTGGTTTTGGAAAGTGCTTGCCCGTCGCCCCGCTTTCGCTCAAGCATACACCAGGCAACAACAGCTTCGCATTCCGCTCAAAAAGTTCTTTTAGCTTTTGCTTCCAGCTTTCTAGCTTTGCGTTTTCATGTCACTTTGCAGACATAAGCTTGCCTTTCAGCTTCTCGCCTGGTGCATGGATTCGGCATTCTTTTCAGCTGCTTTGCACTTTGTGCGGCCGCTGTCAGCGGCCACCACTGTCGGGCCACGGTGGTATGGAGGGAGACTCAGAGGCTGACTCGGAGGTATTTGCCGCTCCGTCGGCTGAACTGCTGGCTTCTCTTCAGGACCGCTTTGACAATTTCGTGCAAGGTCTGCCAGTTCAGTCGACAGGCGAGCCTCCCGCTGACGAGGGCTCCACTGAGGAAACACCTTCCTGCAACAAGTTCCGCAGACGATGGAGCCGTTCTTCGCCGAACCCCCTCCTGACCTCTAATCCCGACCTCGCGTCCTCTCCAGGTAAATCTTCGTGGGAGGTTATCTGCATTGCCGATGATGAGGACGAGCATCCGCCGACTCCGGGGCAGGGCATTTCGGGGAGTTCCACACAGTTTCAGCTTATGCGTTCGGGATCTACGCGACCTAGACCCAGCTTACGGCACTTGAGCAAGGCATCCCCGTGGTCGCCTCCCCCGGTATGCTTACGCTACAATTCCCCAGACAGAGTGGGTTGCCCCGGCAAGGCACCTCGTGCCCCAGTGCCTAGTACCGTGGCATGCTTTTCTCCGCCTCGGCCCGGCGCTCAGCTTCGGCCGACTCAGCACAGTTATTTCCCCATGCCGGGGCGGCCCAAGCCTTTGCCCAGCTTCAAAGCAGCGGCGGCGTATGCGGCCTACCCGAAGCACTCATGCTCGGTGATTCAGGAGTCACTCAGCACGCCGACTCCCCGACCGCTTCCCAGGCCTACGACGCTGGTCACAGGGAGCTGGGAACCCCTGCCTAGACCCAAGGTGGACCCAGCTTTGCGGCCGGCTGTTATGAAGTCCTCAGACCTTCATGAGGCCAAGAGGTCTAGAAATGAGGCTCTCTTTCAGTCGCTATGTGATGCCCACGGCCGCTTTAGTGAGGTCCTCTCACAGCTTGCAGCCAGTCAACATGGTGACGCCATACGCAAGCGCTTGTTGGCCAAGGTTAGCGACACAACTGCGGCCAGGTACCTGCGATCGGTCCAGCTTTTCTTCACTACCTTTGAGGAGCTGGGCGGTTCCCTGGACGAGGTTGATCAGGGCCTGTTCCTTGATGCCTTCTTTGCGCTTTCTCGTTCGCTTGAGGATGGCCCGCTTTCAAATGCCCAGAACGTGTTGAAGGCACTTCGCTGGTACCGCAAGCTCATCAGCTTATCGATTCTCCCGGACCTCTACAGTCCGGCCTTTTCAACAATGGCATCGGGCCCCAGCAAAGAGAAGCGAGAGAGCGTTCCGCTGCCACTGGCTTTCCACGCGTTTCTGGAACGGCAGGTGCTATCCCCGGACACCCCAGTGGAGAAAGCATTGTTTTGTGGCAGTGTTCTCACATGCATTGGTGCCAGTCTCCGCTTTGCAGACGCACAGCAGGTTGCCTGGACCTCGCTTTGCCCCAGCGCCTTCTCGCTTCGGGGTATTTGCTACCGCACTAAGACTACCTCCAGAGGGGCGCCGTTTGGCTTGATCGGCTTTGGCCTTTACAGCACTTCGGAAGAGTGGGGTTCCAATTGGCTTTCCCGCTGGATTTTGCTTTTGGACGGTGTCTGGACAGGTTTGAGATCCAACTTCGGTCAGGACTTGGTGCCCGACTGCCTGTTCTTCCACTCTAATGAGTCAGGTTTCGCGCCGGCCTCCTACGCTCAGACTTTATGCCGCTTGCGCCAGTTGCTGCTTGAGGCAGCTGTGCCGGCCTCGCAGGTGGGAGAGTACACGCTCCACAGCATGAAGTCCACTTACTTGAGTTGGATGGCTCAGCTCAACCTCCCGCTCTCAGCGAGGTTTCTGCAGGGTCACCACAAGATCCCAGAGTCAGCTCAGCTTTACTCGCGAGATGACATCTGGCCTGCACTCAGAGCCCAGCTTCTTCTTTGGCGATCTTTGCACGGGGGTTTCCGGCCGCTTTGCCCCCAGCACAGGGGCGGCCAGCAGCCCTTGGTAGAGCCGGCAGTGGTTCTTGGTACACTTCAGTGGCCCTCTGAGATGCAGCGCCCTACTTGCTTCCAGTTGTGCGATGACTCAGGCACTTTTCTTCGCCTTCAGGAGTCTGACAAGGATCTGGCAGAGGCACTTCAAGCTTCCGAACCCGGGCAAGGCCGAGGTCCAGTGCTTCCCCGCTGTGTACATGTCATGTCTGAGGTGCCCAGCTTTGCGGACTCCGATGGCGAGGAACCTAACGCTTCGGAAGTATCCGCTGAAGACGCGACCCTGACAGAGGTCGCTCCCGCATGGCGTGGGGAGGAAACACTCCCCTTGGCTGACAAGGCCGTGCCCAAGGCACCCCCGCAGACAAGCCTGGCATGTGCCTCAGCCCGCTTTTTGATCAGCCCTTCGGGGATAGCACATGCAGCAATCATTCACTCAGGCTCCCGTAAGATATGTTTGGTTTGCAATCTGGAGTCCTGCACCGCGCGTCGCTATCCCGCTTGTGGCTGCATTTCCGAATTTTCCGCGTCGGTGGAACTTCCACCCAATGCCCGCTTGTGCAGACGCAGGGCTTGTGTAATCGCTTTCACGGACTGATTCGGTCGGTTTGCATGGAAAACCCGCCAGGTGCCGAGCTTACTTCTATTTTCTTTGAGTTAGGCAAGCCTGGCAGGGAATTCTCTTGTCCGCTGCAGCCCTGCCGACTCCCAGCTTTCCCCCATGCGCAGCAGCCCTCTCTTGCCTTCGTGGACGATGGCGAAGCTTTCCGGGGACTATGTTTTCCGCCTGCTCCAGTCTATGCCGGAGTCTGAGAGGGACTGAGCGCCGCGGGTAGCACTTCTTATGGTGCCACATCGACCTCCACTTCAACACCGGCCCCAGCCTTACCAGACGACCAAGCACAGCCCGCTACGCCGGTCGAGGAGCCGCCGATGCCACCACCTCCAGGACCTCCTGAGTTTGCGGACACGGTGCCTACGGAGGACTACGGTGCAGCTACAGGGCGGCAAGCACCAGCAAAGCTCCTACTTCTACGCCTCCTTCAACAGCCCCGGCGCAAGGAGCCAAAGCTGGGACGGTGCCACAGAAGCAGCCGCCACCCAAACCCCCGGCTGATCAGACCGCTGCTTCCACGCAGAGTGCAGCTCCATCCAGCTGCAGCGCCCCGGGACTCCCAGCCAAGTCCACCGCAGCTGCTCCCAAGAGTGCAGGGGACGCTGCTCCACCTGCCCAGCCCAAGGCCAACCCTCCCCACTTGTGCTTGATGCGGCAAGCACCGGGCCACCTTCGGGTCCCGCACGTCAGGCCACTGCTCCCACGCAGGACCCCCCTTCCCAGGCCACGGGTCCCCGCAGCGACCCGCCGATCCCCGAGGCCCCACCTTCCCGCGTCGGGGACACCATCAACGACGGGGAAGGCAATCCAGTCCTCCAGCTTGTCCAGCTTTGGGCTTGCAGGAAGGTCTGCTCCCGCTGCGGCAATGCCCACTGCCAGGCGACGTTCGCGGACCGGTCGTCGACCTACCACGGGACCCACTTGTGTCGCGACTGCAAGAGGGCCCAGGGACGCGAGCAGGCAGCGCAGCAGGTGGAGCAGGAACGCCAACGGTCCCAGGCGTCAACCACTCCAGCTTCCTGGCCCGCTTCGCTAGGGTCCTCGAGCTGGGGCAACAGCTGGTATGGCCAAGGCTGGGATGGCCCCCACTGGGACGACCAAAGTTGGGATGAGCCCGCTTGGCAACAAGACAGCGGCTCGAACCACGGCTGGAACTAGTTGGGCGAACCCGCTTTTCGCTCTCACCGCTACCAGCTCTACAGCCAGCTGTATGGAATAGGTCCATTGGGACCGTGATCGAAGTCAGGGCACCGCTTTCCCGCTTGTGTGAAAAACATCCAACAGCTGGTTTGCACCGCTCGTGCCGCGACTTTTCATGCACCATTCGATTCGGTGACATGGTCCGCTTGTGCTCTGAACCCGCTTCCTGCAGCTTTGAAGCTCAGCATCCCTCTCCCGCGGGGGGGAAAAGGGTGAGACTCAACACAAGAGTCCGCGTGAGCGCCCATCGCAGGCCCAAGGTCCCGCTCGCTTGGCTAAACTTACATCACGCTTGCCTCATGCAGGTACTGGAGTCCGCTCAGCCCTCAGCCTGCGGGGCCGAGGGGTCAACGTTGTCTTCGCCGACATGTTTTGCAATTAACCTTTACGAGGTCTTCCCTTCAGGCCGCGCACCCAGCTTCGCGATCTTTTGCAGTTGTTCCGCATGCCGCATCCTGGTGCAGGTCCACTTTATGTCGGAACTCTCTCAGCTGGCCTTGGAGGCAAGCGTTCCGACTGAGGTCATGCAGCTGCTGTCAGATTTCGAGGTGGCCACGTTCGCGCGTTGCTGCACCAGTCACGTTGAAGCCGAAGATATGATATCCCAGCTTTGTGCTGATAGTGGGCTGGTCGAGCACTCAAGCAAACTACTGGCTAAAGCATCGCTACGGCTTCTTCTCAGCAGGTGCCGCTCAGCTGAAGCTCTCCCCTCGCTTGAACAACATGCGACGCCACAAGCCCCGGTGAACAATCCAACCCCACAGCTCGCTACAGCGACGACGCCAGCTCCAGCGTCCTCGGGCTGGCAGGAGTCGTGGCCGGCAAAGCTAAGCCCAGAGAAAACCGCGGCATTGCGGCGTCGCTTCGAGGAAGACTACCCTACCGAACTGCTAGACTCTGATTCTTTCCCTTCCTCCCGCTTACTGGCGCTTACCTCCAAAATGGTTGCGGACAGAGAAATCCGCTGGCAAAGAGAAAAAGTTCCGCTTGAGCTCCAAGTCTCAGGATGACAGCTTGCTGCTTCGCCCCAAGAAGCAGCCCAGGATATCGGAGCTCAGCGACTTGCTACTGGACGATGCCCCGACCAGAGAGATTCATGATGGCCCGGCTTCGTATGCCTTCATTAGCCAGATGCTATCGCTTGCATCCACTTCGATTGCCTTATGCCAAGGTGCTCACCTGGGGGCTCTGAAGATGTACAACAAGAAGTTCCTCCAGCTTTGTTTTACCAAGTATGAGCCTGCTTCCAACTTGCGAGGTCCTACATCCCTGGAAGCCCAGGCAGCGGACAAACGGGCTTGGGAAATTCTGTCGGACCTTGTCAATCAACGCGCTTGGAAGCTAGATGACGCCTTGCATGAGGTGTCGGAGGTGCGCTCCGACTTGGCCAGCTTGCTTGCACCCCGGCCACACGTGAGCAAGCGCCTGCTTGAAGGTCAAGAACAGTGGCGCTACCGGCAAACCGGCCGAGGCAGGGGCTCACAGGGCACTGGTCGCGGCGGCAAGGGCCGCGATGGCAAGAATACCCCCACTGAGCGGCTGGAAAGAGGGGGCAAGGGCAAAACTTCCCACAAAGGGGGCGACAAGAACAGCCAGTCGTCCCAGGGCAAGTGGCTGTCGACAATCTTCATGGAGGGCAAGAAGCACACTTTGTGCATGCGCTATCAAAGTGGTCAGTGCAAGGACCCCGCCTCCTGCCGCTATGTGCACAAGTGCGCTGTGCCTAAACAGGACGGCACAGCCTGCGGGGGCAATCACCCCGCTTCTCAGCATGTGGGTACGGCGCACTAGGTTGCCCGCTTCAGCCCCTCGCGAGGTGAGGCTGAGGTGGTTGATGACACCTCGCTGTGCGTGCCAGCTAGGCCGGCTGGTTCGCAAGGGCATCTCATTTCTCCGCAGGCCGCTGATTCTCAGGTTTCTCCAGTGGCCCAGGCCATCGCGAGCTACCAGTTCGATTTCCCCACTTGCTTGTCGCTTTTGGAGGAATCCTTTTCCAGTAAAGCCGCGATCGCTCTCAGGGATCCAGCAGTCACCCAGTCCGACGCTTATTTCAACCTCGGCGCTTTTGGGTTCGAGGATGGACGCAGATGTGGTGTCTTCCAGAGGACGGAACAATTCTCCGAAATTGCAAGATTTTTGAACGCTTTTCTCCGCTTGCAGTTTCCCTCGGCCTCTTGGACATCAGTGTGCGTGAGTCATAATGTGCGCACGCAGCTTCACACAGATGCGGGCAATGAGGTGGATAGCCTAAATCATTCCATCTCACTGGGCAATTTCGCAGGGGGGGAAATCTGGATTACCCCAGCTTTGCATAGCTCAGCAGCTCTCGTTCCCCCGCCCAAAGGATCGGAGTCGGAGATGCACAAGGTAGGCGCAGAGACACTGGGTGAGCAGGTTGACACATTTGAGTCGGGGGTTTCCTTCCCTTGCTCCAGCTTACACTGCACGTCTCCATGGCATGGCGACAGATGGGTGCTTACAGCTTACACCTGCAAGGGCTCGGCCTCGCTTCCCGCTGATGTTCGGGCGCATCTGCGCTCGTTGGGGTTTCCGCTGCCAGGAGACGAGCCGACCGGTGTGGCGCCTCAGCCTTCCCCCACCCCGGTGGTTGCATCCCTCAGCCCAGGATTTTTCCTGGATATCTGCTGCGGAGCCACTGCACCGCTTTCTGTGGCCATGGGCAAAGCCGGCATACACCACGTGTGTGTTGACGCCCTGGGCGAGGAACCGCACGACCTCCTTTGCGACAAGACCTACGACTCACTCATGCGCTTATGCTTTTCAGGGGTCGTTGTCATGGCACATGCTGCCCCGCCCTGCAAGGAATACTCCCGTCTGAAGCTTCGCCCGGGAGGCCCCAAAGCAATCCGCAGCCCCAGCTTTCTGAATGGGCTACCCGACAACACGGCCGAACAGCAATCGCGTGTTGTACAGAGTCAGCGTATTCTATACCGCTGTGTTTGCTTGCTGCGAGCAGTTTTTGCTTCTGGAGGACATATTTCACTGGAACAGCCTACCAACGCGATGTCTTGGCTAGAGCCGTTCGTTCAGGATCTGCTCTCGGAGGTCCAAGCTCACCTCTCGGACGTTCCCGCTTGCTCGGTTGGGTTGTCGATTGCTAAGTCTTGGCTTTTCGCCTCCAGTTTTTCGCAATTTTCTGGTTTGGCTGCCAAATGCACACACCCTCAGGGCCACGAATCAGTGGCAGGGAAACTTGACGCTCAGGGAAGCTTTCTTTCCCAACGGACAGCGGAGTACCCTGCAGCACTGGCTGAACGATATACAGCGATCGCTGCCCCGCTTTTTGGGGCTGTATCCTCCCGCACTGTGCGAACCCCATGCTCACTTTCATTTGCGCTCGCATGCACTGAGGTAAAACCTCGAAGCACTCCGCCGTTTGGAGCACAGGACGGTGGCGGTATCTATTCGCTTCCCGACTGGTCTTATGGCCCCAGGTACGCAGAGGACCAGCTCAGGTCTCTTCGCACTGAGTGGCGCACATGGCTTCTTGAGAAACATGTGCCTGCCAGGTTGATACAGCATATCGCGTCAGGCAGGAATGAACCACTTTTCACTCCTGAGGAGACTGCTTGGCTACAGTCGTCGTTCAAGCGTTTTTCGGATGGACTTTCTGGAGCATCCGACTGGGATTATTCTGTAGCGGAAGGTCAACCGTATTGTCTTTCCGCTCTACAACGCTTGAGTACAATTCTTGCTGACAAGGATACATCGCTTTTTCCAGCTTTGTTACAAGGGGTCCCCACGGGGTTTGACGATGACATCCCCCGCAGCCACACCCTGAGGCCCCGACGAGAAGGGGACACGGATGAGGGCCATGAGCTCTTGGTCTGCGAAGGAAACTGGCAGGGGGCTGAGAGTGACCCCGCTTTGCTGCAGGAGCTCATCGAAGAAGAACTAACCGCTGGGTTTCTCGAGGAAGTCGACTCCATCGAGGAAGCGTATAAACGCTGGGGTAAGGACAGAGTTGCAGTGGGCAGAGTCAACATCGTCAAAGCCCCAGGACGTTCTCCCCGCTTAGTGACAGTGGTGGACAACAGCATCTGCAATACTAACCAAAACTGCAAAGTCCCCGAGCAGTTTAGTCTTCCCTGCTTGCAAGATATCCAGGCTTCGTACCCGCTTAGGGAGGACAATGAGCCTGTTTCAGGTTTCAGCTTGGATGTCAAGGGTGCACACAAGACATCCCGCGTACGAGAACAAGACAGGGGCCTACTCGGCCTACGTCAGCAGGACCGCTTATTTTTCTATAAGGTCTGCCCCTTCGGGGCCACTTTCTCATCCCACTGGTTTGCGAGACTGGGCGGCTTTTTCACTCGCTGCCTCCACTTGCTTATTTGGCTTCCGCACGTTCTGCTTTTGTACGTGGACGACCTGCTGTTATATCAGAACGCCAAGGTGCTCCCACTTTCAGCCTGCTTGACGCTGGCATTCTGTTCATGCTTTCACATCCGGCTTAGTTGGAAAAAACTTCAAACGGGGCCAGTCATCACATGGATCGGCTGGCAGCTCAATCTGGGGACTGCTTGCTACACACTTCCAGATGATAAGCGCAACAAGCTGCAGTCTCAAGTGCGCGAGTGCCTCAGTCACCGCTTGGTTTCCAGAAAGCAGTTGGACAAGCTTTTGGGGTTGCTTCAGTGGATTCTTCACGGCTTCCCAGCACTGCGCCCATGGCTTTGCACTCTTTATGACGATATGCACAGGCCGCTCGGCACAAATATCAGTATACCTCCAACGACGTGGCCAGGCATCGCCACCCACTTGAATGACAAGATGGTCTTCATTTCCTGCCCTGCTGGGACATCCATTCGGCCGGGTAGCACCCTGCTTTCTGCACGCCACGTCGAGCTAAGGTGCCTCGCTGACTTGCATAAGGTGCCAGTCAGCTCCAAGCGGATTTGGATGAGGGTAGCAGATCCCTCATCCTCACGTAGAAAACTGAGCATCGCCAGCAAGGAAACTTTGGAGTTCTTCCTCTACCTCAGCTCACGAGAATGGCGACCGCGACCACTTCGTCCGGCCCCTCTTGCTCAGGTGGAATCCGCCGCTGACGCTTTCGGCAAAGGCAACGACTGCGGGGTCGGAGGCTGGCTCCGACTGCCGGATGGAAAACCATCATGGTTCTCGCACCGCTACACGGTTTCGGACTTCACCAGCTTGGGCTTACCCATGCAATCCAACGCCAACTTGGACATCTCCAGCTACGAAACGCTGGCACAATGCTTTATTCTTATTTGCTTTTGGAAGCTCTCAGGCAGCGGTCGCTTGGCAGTAACCCTTCCTGCTTTGAGTGATAATACGGGGGCTGAGTCTGTTTGCAACCGCCTCTATACCTCTAAAGTCCCACTTAACCTTTTTGTCCGAAAGCTTTCAATGTGGAGTTCGGTGACGGGCGTCCAGTTGGACTGCAGTCGCATCTCTGGCGAGAAGAATGACGATGCCGACCTGCTCTCGCGCTGGGATGGTCAGGGTGAGCTCCCGGATCGCTTTTTGCCTGGGAGCCGTGTACATATCTCGCTTTCCGACTTTTGGCATATCCGCTTCGCGGTAACGCTGCATCCCCCGGATGCGTTTTTGAAGTGGCAACTTCCAGAGCCACATCAGCTGGGCCCATCTAACCGGGTCTCCAAGGAGCGTCGCTGATGCATCGTTTCTAGCAGCACACACTCAACCTCACTTTCTTTTCTCGCGCTTTCTAGGCGAGGTTTCGGCTTGCCAGCTTCCAACTTGGGCTTTGGCTAACGACTGCACGGCAGCTTTCTGTCGGACCCGCTTTACAGGTCCAGAGACTTCAGCTGCAGTCGTTTTTCCGGCAAGCCGAAACAAAAGGAGTGAGCTGAGCGAGTACGCTTCATGTTTGCTTCGCTGTCGTCTGTGCTTTGCTTTAGTCGAGTCCCAACCCGCTCAGTCAGCTAGCCTGAAAGCCGTAGCCTTTGTTGTTGCGTGGTGTAACACTTTCCTGAACGTGGGGATGAGATTGGCACTTTGGTGTTTATAGTACTATATCTCTTGCTGCCGGTGTGGTATCATGATTTCAAGGAGTGGTATTTGACAAGCTGCTGGAGAGATGATCTTCAAACCATCCTGCAAGGGGGTGTGGAAATTTGGTACCTCGTTTACCTCGTTTTACTGCTGCGGGATGATTTGGTCTGTAACTGCGACGCCGTAAGAGCTTGCTTGGTATTATGGATCCATGAACATCTGCATCAACTTTGTTTGGAAGCAGCGGTATGTTGTACTACGGCTTCACCTGTGGAATGACCAGACCATTCCTTGTTGAAGTGCTTGAGTCCTTACTGGAGCGTTTGAGTGAGAATGCTGAGCATTGAGGCCGTAGAGTTGTCTGAAACTTGGCAGTGCTGTGGAACCGCACGTGTTTTACCACCGAACAACACGTTTTGCATGTTTTGGTGCGCCGCGATAGTTTTCTGCAAGAGTTGCTTTGTTTTCTGGAAGACAAAGAGCAAATGCACAAGTGCATTTGCCGTTGACAGAGCCGTAGCTTCGTTAGGAGGTTACTTTTGGCTGTTGTGAGAAGCTTCAAGAAAGCTGCGCTGTGACTTGCTGGCTCAAGGGAGCTAGCAAGGAAGCAAAGGTACGGAGCCAAGAGTTTGTGTGCAAGACAGTCACCTGACTTTGTGCGAGTGCCAAAAGTGACAGTCACGTCAGTTTGCTTGCCGCTGAAGGGTTACGTAGTAAGTTTTACAGGGTGGGGTTTTTGTACGCGTGCCTTAAGGGACATGGTTTTTCCCCGCCCTGTTGTCACACAGGTAGAAAGCTCAACGCCCAGAAAAGGAGTGCGTCCTACCGGTCTCGGCATGCCAGGGTCGTGCTGCCATGATGCGGCTTCAAGAGACGATTTCACGATGAAACTCCTTTTACAGAGCCTATGGTGAAGATCAGATTCAAACATAAGTTTGCCCTCTCCACGAAGACCAACAAGACCATTTGCACTCGGTATCTTTGTCCCGCAGCATGATAAACTCCAGGGCTTCGGACTGAACCCTCGGTACATGACGAAGAGGCCACGCCGAAAAGTTTTGGGAAACCCCTATGACATGCGGTCTCCTGGCCTCGCCATCGATCGCTTAAGAAGCAGAGCGGCAAAGCCTGCCTTGGTTCATTTTGTTGGTCTTTTTGCTGCTCCACCCCCCTGAGAGTGGCAGTGCCTGGCTTTTTCGGACAACCGTTTCAGTCTTCCTTGTGTTGCACAGGAGCTTTTGCTGTGCAACGTGCCTGAAATACCAATTTTGCCTGCGATTCTTTCAAGGTCTGGGTTGTGAGGCTTCAGGGTCGGGGTCTAGTGTGTTTCGCGTTAGGATTGATGTTGGGTGCCACGCAAAAGCGACAAACAACATTTTTGCTGTTTCTTCGCCACGAGGCCACCGACTGGGATTTCTGCTTGCTACAAACCGGGAACTCTGCGAGTGCCCGGCAAGCTGCAAGTGAGGATCTCTGTGGGCTGGCGATCGCTTGTCTCAAGGCTCCGGGCTGCATAGTGCAGGGCCGGCAGCATACCAAATCCAATCCAAATCCAAATCCCAAAAGCAGTCAAACTTTTGCCGAATCCCAGTTTTGAACCCCACGACTCCCCTGTGAACCGTTGTAAGACCCGAGAGTCGCTCGGGCACCAGAGTTTGCACGGCCGGGATCCGTGCCCTCCAGCATGGGCGCCGAGCCCCGGGGGCTTTCCGCCGGCTTCGGAGGACCGCCGGGGCTTAGCTTCTTTTGTTGGGTTTTGGGTTAGGGGTTTTGGGATTTTGGGTGAAGGGTTTTGGGTTTTTTTGTTAGAGGTTCGGGGGTTTTGGGTTTTCAGGTCCAGGCATGCCCAGGTTGGGGGCGTGTTGGGGCTCCAGGGCTGTAGAGCGAGATCTTCGGTTTTGTTTTTGTTTCGCTTCTTGGGCTGCTCCAGGCCTTGCACCGGCGAGTGTCTTAGGGTTTTAGGGTTTTTGCGGGTCATAACGGTTGTGATCCAGGGATTTAAGGTGAGGGTTTTATCGGGTTTAGTATTTGGGGTCGGCGTTTTTTTGGCCTTCGAGGATCTTTTCCACAAGAAATTCGGACGTCTCACCGGTATCGGGGAGAAGCGTCGGAGCGCAGCCCCCTAATTGGGACACTCCCAGTCCGAAGCTCTGAGAACGACTGACGTATGGGGATCCTCTACACTATTGTTGGATTTAGGCTGTAGTGTTTGTAAGGTTTAAAGGGTTTGTAGGATTTAGGGTTTATAGGGTTTAGGGTTTATAGGGCTTAGGGATTATAGGGTTTAAGGTTTAGGGTTTATAGGGTTTATTTAGGGTTTAGGGATTTTAGGTTTAGGGTTTAGGGTTGCGCTAACGGT